GTGTCCAAGAAAACCGTTAGCAGTGACTGTTAACAGTGCGACGTCAACCGTGAAAACCCCTCAGGAGACTTTGTATGGACATCGACCCAAGTTTACGATACACGGACCGTATGAAGCGATCGACGAGACGTTAGTAGCGCACAGTTACTGCTTTAACTATGAATGCTTGTCTTGTTCGTTTAAAGGGGTCTTTCTGAATTTCCTTAAGTACAAATACGGAAAATATGCAAGGACGCCGATTCGACTCCATCAGAGACAAGGATTTCTGCAAATCCATAGGAACGTCGTAGTCCATTTATACAACGGTGCTTTAAAATGACTCGTCCGACCAAACATCAACCGTTGTGGTAAGCTGCGCCCGCTGTCACTCACTTTGTTCGACAAGTGTAAGTCTGAATATTGTTCAAGTTGGCATACTAACTGACAAGCCATCGTATCAGAGAATTTGCTGGTTGGTTGCGTCCGGCCATACTGCGTTTGTAGCGCTTACTTATTCAAACTCTACCCGTAGCTGAATCGCGATGCCCATCACTGGATAAAGCAAGTAATTTGGTTTCGCTACGTTGTAAAACTAGAGGAAACATTACGACTGCCGTATAGCCATGGTAACCACAAATGGCTACGATACTAACCTTGGATTAGCCTATGCATGAAAGCAACCAGTTTTGTGGTGGGAGTATTTGAATTGTGCTAGGTAGCTACTCGGCGATTCTGGATTGAAACTTTTACACCTCAAAATAACCGGAATAGATACAGATGTTTCGATGCTTTTCCTTTTCAACATAATCACCCTCAAACATGACATACTTGTTCCATCGAGGCTGAAGCGTCTTTATCTCTGTGAAAAACTACTCTTCGGATTGGGACTCTAGAAATGCTTCTACGTCACTGCCGTTGAGAAAATGTTGGCCAGCTAAATCGTTTTTCAATTTTGGAAAGAAGTCGAAGTCAGAGGGAGCCAGATCTGGTGAATAGGATGTGTGAGGAAGAAGCTGGAGTCGACAATCGTGGATTGTTTTCTGAGCAATAAGAGAGGTGTGAGCTGGGGTATTTGTCTTATTTAAAATGAGTCCTGTTGTCAGCATACCAGTCATCCTTTCTCGAAATTTTTTTCTGCCACGTTTCAAGAGCTTCCAGCAATACCTTCCAGTGATGATATGGCCTATTTCAAGGAACCAAATCATCACATCTCGGCAAGCCCAAAATCGGATCTCATCACCTTGCCAGTTGACGGTATAATCTTGGATTTTTGGCCTAGGAAATGATGCACGCTTTCAGTGCTTTGATAGTCCTTATCTTTATGGTTGAACGTGATGAATCGTGCAATAACATCATCGGTATCTACCTCACACAGTTCGACATCACAAGTCGAAAACTTCTTTGCTCATGATCCAAAAGATCTGGCATGTATCGAGCAGAAACTTTTGAGGGGGTCTGGCTCCTTCGTGAGAATATTATCTGCTCGCTCCTGGGAAATACTCAACCATTTTGTTACCTGACGAATTGTTACTCGGTCATCTTGCATGATCATATCTATCACTAGGCCAAGATTTTCTTTGGTGGCGGCGGTGGACGGTCTCTCCGACCTGGGCTCAAATTCAATACTCTCCCTGCCGCGATTCACCTCTCGCACCCAACCTTTAACTGTTGCATACGAAAGGGCATTGTTATATGATGTATTAAGCATATCTTCGTGAATTTCAGAGGGTGACATTACTTTGAGATAGAAATATTTGATTACTGCGCGTCAATACAAGTTTCCCATTTTCACAGAATCACAAAACTTGATTACAACAAAAAGCTGTTAAAACGAATAAGGAAAAATTATACATTAAAAAATTAAGTTGGGTTCTTCTGCTATGTTAATTTTGCGCCAATCTCAAAAGATTTCCTTCACCATATATATATATATATATATATATATATATATATATATATATATATATGCTCCATGCTGAGGCTGATGTTGCATTCTTGGTGCTTCTTCGCCGCAGTTTGGCTAAACCAACTTACACTTATACTAAGTCTTTTTAAGCTGGATAAATTTCATTCCATTGTATTTGGTTTGTTCTGCCTACCTGAATATTTTTCCATTAACTGACCACGTGGGTTAGGCTAATTGCGCTTATCTTCGATAACTTGGTTGCGTTTGTAGCATGTTTAAGTAACTCGTGGACATTTCTTACTTATCGCAGATTCGTTGCTAACCAGCTTACTTCTTACGCTAATTTAGCGAAGAGTTGTGTCGCCCTATCTTTATGTATTATTGGATTTATTTTATTTCATCTTGTCGTTTCAAGTGAATGGCTGTTGCTTGCTATCCCCGGTGTGGCTGCGCTTGATGTGCACGTTGACAATGTACCTACCTGTCTATTACCCACTACCTCGTCCAAACTGGGTCCAACAGACAGTTGGTCGTTGCTGGAGGGGACGGGGTGCACGGTCCTTGTGTCTGTGCTAAGCTGGAAGAGTGGTTCCATGCACTCACTGTGGAGCGGACTACTGTCCAACCACCGCCTTGTGTGTACTTGCTTCCCCAAATACAGCGTGGTTGTGTTTGCCTGTGAAGGAGTGTGGACCGGCTCCATTGATCAAACGTGGCTCTTAACCACATGCTTCCTTCGGATTTATACTGGATATGGGGTGTGTGGTTGGAGCAGTGGGTGGTGCAATGCAAGCCATCCGTAGTCACTATGTAGGCGCAGGCGTCCTGTGGTTGTCCTGTGGAGACCACAGTGACAGACAAATCCGAAACCGGATGCCGCCAGCCATATATATACATATATAGTAACGTCCATGCTGTACCATCGGAACGACACTGACAAATTGGATGGTGAACTTACGTAAAACCGAGCTAACATGTAACTTTGGTCCTTAGGTACGCGGCTGTGCCTAATTGAGCGGCTTCAGTAGGTCCCCTGCTGGACCTCACTCCTGAAACCTTACCTTTGAGTTCAGACAGAACAGTTGAGCACCGCTGGTGCTGTGGAACAAACTGAAATTCGGTGACGTACCCTCTGGTAAACTATATTCACGTTTCACTTTATTCAACATTCTGCGCTCCTGTGTTGCTTCTCTCTTCTCCCTACCAAGCACTACCAAATTCATTACTGATCCTTAAACTGGTGGTCACAACGAGTTTTGCGATTTTGTCCACCTGTGTAACCCAGCAGACAGTGACCACAAGCCCGGTACGCACGTTATCGACGAAGCGACACACCGTGGCTGAGCACCATGGGCAATCTAGAGTTGAAAAGGCGGAACAAAAGATCGCCAGTTGAAGTGGTGACGCAAGAGTACATCCAACTGGGTTAAGGTGAATGACTCAGGGGCAGCACGCTGAAATAGTCAATTTAAAGTTATCCAATGCAACCCAATTGTCTTAGGTGCAAAGTGAAGTGGAGGAGCGCAAATGGTTGCCTAAATTTCTTGGTTTCTTGTGGTGTCTTCTTCCATTGCAGTCATCAAGTGATCACTTTAATTAGCCAGAAACCCCAGTAGCTAGCTAGAGGAATCGACGAATGCCAAAGCGCAGCATCGGATTCGAGTACGTCCAAGTGGGAATCAACAGCCGTTAGGAGTTATACACAAGTTGCTTCCCACTGAACTCTAAGACATCAACCCGCACATCTAGTCCAGCAGTTCGACGAGTAGAAGAGTTGGCAACTAAGCGGCATCTGCGTCAGCGAAAATTCTGATGGGTCTTGAAGCACATGGTCGGGAAGTTTATGCCACACTCAACAACATCCATGCTTGAGGGATCAATAACCACTTAACACTCATCTTCCGCAATTGTGGCATCAAAAGTTCGGATCTAGGGCTAGCTCCTGGGAGCTCCAGTCAAGTGCGCATCGATCGCGGAAATTATTAGCTGAAGGTTCGCATCTGGTGTTGGCCGGATCAAACAAATATGAATGCAGATAAAGACGCGAAAAGCAAACTGACAATGCAAAAGCCACTCGTGAAATTTTGAGATCAGTGACCACATTGCTGGCAACAATAAGCAAACTAGATTTTATGGTGGTGTCCATTTGTAATTTTCACCATTATCCCGCCTTCACTATCATCTTATTGAAGGTACGCTAGGGGACGCATGTTGGGTGGTGCCTGAGATACTAAGTGGTAGCATACGTAAAACGTGCGAACTACGTGACGGTAGAAAATATGGAGACCGCTGGACCCAATGTGTATTGCACAGGCAACAAGGGATGGGAAGCGAATCAGCAAGGGAGAGGAGCGTGTAGCATGGGACTTACCAGGGTAGAATGTAAAGGCGGATGTACAGTTATTAATACAAATGGACGTGGCGAATGTTCAAACCGTAATAAAATCCAGTGTTATAAACTATAGAAAGAGTACGTTTTCAGGTGCACTACATCTTCTCTATCACTGGGTCTCCTCGTGCAGTCTGGTGAACGCTGAAATTATACCCACAAACTCGACATGACTCACCCGTTACCTGAAGGAATTCAGAAACTATCAACGAAAAAAGTTACGTATGTTATCAGTTGGCCGTTTTGGAAATGAAACGTGTGTGGGCACCTTTATGTTTTCTGGAGTGCGTGACCTACAGGAAGAACCTGCTTTGAAGAGTACAGATAGATAAATCAATACCATCATCCACGGCGTGTCTGGGCTTGAATCTTCCGATAGTTGAGAAGCTGAAACAAGATTTACAGTAGTGGTAGTTCGTCCATAAGCTATGTTTCCTGGACAAAGTTTATATCCTTTATACATGCAGTAACAGTTACAGTTACAGTAGCATTACACGCCCCATCTCACTGCACCTAGAATGCCACTTCGCATGGTGGTGGAACATATGCAACGAAACCGCCAAACTCGAAGAACAAATGAACAATTGCACAAAATTAAGCCAAGCACTATCGTTACGGTTGATGAGAACACATTGGCAAAGGTCTATGAGTCATCAGCGAATCATGTATCACCAATAATTACTGAGCTAATATTGCATAGAAATTCACTTGCCCCTTGCCTTTCAGCCGTTGTTTCGTGCCAATCTGTATGAGGCTCAGACAGTGGACGATGTGCTCAAGTCAACCGACCTGTTCATGACCGATGCATTGGTTATGCCGATAACAAAGTACGCAAATCCGGAGGCTCTAGCCGGTATGGTAAGGCAAATCGAAGCATATAAGCGTGAGATCACTCACCCCCGAGATGTGGACCGGCCAGTTCGGGGTAAGTATAAAACTTTGATCATTTCCATAATTCATGAACTCTAGGTGAAAGTTGCCGCACATCTAGTTTGTAGTTTGTTGCGCAACATTTGCCCAAAAACCAAAGAGAAACGCACCGCAAAATGGGTTTGTATGTCTATCGTACCAGTTCACATCGATAAGTATTTGTGGTCTAGACTGCTTGTCAATGAAAAAATGAGCTGAATCCTAAAGCAACCTACAAAACGCCGATCGCTACCACTGAAGAGAATGAACAATAAACAATGTATTTATGTGGGTTAAGAAGCGAAGTTTTACATGTCCCGTTGGTGGTTTTTAAGGGTTGCCAAAAAATAATAAGGCAGTGGGTTATTTACATTTAAAAGGGGACTTATCTTTTGTTTTCCTGTAGTCCTGCGATCGGTGTATTTTCACAGCACAAACATGTAACAGCAACTACATCCAAAATATATTCCAGCAGTGGGATGGAGATGTAGTGCTGAGTAACAAAGTGTAGGTGAGTAAGTGAGTCATCCAAACGTCATTTAAATATGAATAGTGATGGTGGAGAAATGACCGATTCTGGAAGATCATTCCACGGTTGACATACGCGGACGGAAATAAAATTTCTGCGACAATCCAGACGGCTGTCCTGTTCTGCCAGTTTTAGTGTGTGACCTCACAATTTGGTATTTCTGCTGAGTTGCAATAAAGAGCGGCACACAGTATGTGGATCTTGCAGACTTAAGTACACCATTATCAAGTCACCTCGTAAGCAGCGATAACGTCAGCCGAATAATCCCAAAAGTTTTAGCCTCTCCTTTTATGAAAGATAGTGCATTAGAATAAGGCCTTTTTGTGCTCGAGGTTGGGCTGCTCCTATGTACTGTGGTCTTGTTTTAGCCATGGGTGATAGACATGAATCGCATATTCGCCATGATGACGAATATGCGCACTAAGCATCTGCCGGAAAATAGATCGATCTATTTGTCCGAACGCCCGTCGTAACAGACCCACATGTTGGCTACCAGTTTTGGAGGTCTTCGCGGATTGCCCGGAACAATAGATCATCCTGAACCAGTACGCTGAAATCACCTTCGGTGGCAGCTCGCTGCAGCACATGTGTTACAAGTCCGTAACAATTGTTGCTCTGGTGTCATATGGGGAGAACTTTGCAGTTAGTCACGTTGAATTGCAGTGAATTCTGGATGGACCACTTATGTGCCGTGTCTAGATCACGCTAATGCATTTGCTGGTCAGTATTCCCCTGAACCTTGCGCCAAATCTCGACGTCATCGGCACACAGTGGGAAGTTAGATGTAATTGCCTGTGTGAGGTCATTGATAAATACCAAAAACAATCGCGGACCTAGCACCGAGCCTTGAGGCACGCCACATCCAAAGAGTTTGGGTTCAAAGGTGTTACCAACGCGGACCACCAACTGCTGCTGAATTTGATAGTTGGTGATCCAGCTTAGAAGATGTACACCAATCCCTTAACTTCGTAGTTCGGAAAGGGATGTCCGATGATCTAGTCGGTCGAATGCTTTCGAGAAATCCAGGTAGAGCATATCCACATTCCTCTCCAGCGTCAGCTGACTGGGTCCAGCTACTCCGTGCTATAAGCAAATTCTTCGTGCGCCATCGATTTTGACGGAAGTCGTGCGGCTCAGAAATAATAATGTTAGAGTTTCCCTAATAGCCCATCGGGGCATAGACTATGGTGCATTCCATTATCTTGGATAGTATAGATAGGAGGGCAACTAGGCGGTAGTTTGAAGTCTCAGTTGTACTTCCACTTTTGTAAAGGAGTGTCATTATTCCAAGCTTCCACATTACAGGAACTTGGTTCTGGTCTAGGCAGCGCTGGAAGAACTGAGCCAGTGACTGTGCCAGTTGACTTGCTGCTGCTCCGAATGCCTCCGAGCGAAGAGTACCGACGCCCTGTGATTATTGTTTGCGTAAAGTGATCAGCTTCTGCAAGACAGCTGCGTTGGTAAAGGAGATGTGTGTGCGCCCCGGCGGAGGGACGATAAAAACTGGAGGATCACTTGATCTTAATACACTCTGGAAGGTGGGGGTATATTACATCCGCAGCGCGTTTGCTGCTTCCGTAGCTGTTCGTGTTGGGCCATCAGCCGTCGTGAGTGGCGGAACTTCTTGATACACTTTCCGTAGACCATTGGCGTGCTTATGCAGCAATTTGTTAATGGTGCTGAAGGTTTTTGTCATGTTCTACTGATGTGCGGCTTTGTCCTTTCTGAGCAGTTCAATCCATTGTTTTAGTTGAGCTATTATGTATCCCAGCTTGCTGGTGTTTGGGAAAATCCATACTCTTGCCACACTGCGTTTGCGTACAGCCAGCTATCTCCGAGGTCTACTCCTGTTATAACGCTGTGCTCGCGATCGACCTGTGATTCACGCCTGCTGATAAATCTGCGCCCTTACGCCTGCTCAGTTTGTCGTCTTGACAAACCCGACAGAAAGGAAAACAGAAGAAGACTCAGCTGACCAGAGTTGTATTAGGACAGAGAACGCTCATATTTATATGTCTGTCTCACCAACTCTCTAAACATCACCAGGCGGATTTGGCTGTAAGCCCACTCTCCACACATGTTTGTTCTCTCCGTCTGTCCAGTTCACCGTCTTGCTCGGGCACTCCAGTCTTCGTCCGCCTACCCGGAGCATGGCAACAAACGTGATGTCTGAAGCGCGATTTCATCAGCTTCCGGTCAAGCCTTGGCAACGCGCCTGCTGTATGATGCGCGATTTCATCAGCTTTCTGCTTGTCCCTGGCAACATGCTCGCAGGGTCTTTCCCAAGCACAAACTGTGGCAAACAGGCGCGTGTTAGCAATCAGCTTTCTCGCCCAGGTGTCAACTCCTTTCGTAAGTAAATGTTTCAGACCTTTTGCGAACTTTGTCTCTGAAGCATCCGTAATCAACCAAATGAATTAGTTTACGAAGTGGAGCCAGGCGACAACCGGGATATCTTCGGTGAGTAACGACCAGGTTGTGGCAATGACGAGGTGTGTTAATCGATCGCGGCATGTGATGGTTCGCGCCGTCTCGTGGTCGACAGCTCGTAGATGAAGTTGAAACTAATAATTGCACGATCACTGCGACCAAACTGGCAGTCTATAACCAAGGCGTCAACCGTATTTTCTTTGGTTAACTCAAGTTCAAGCACCGATGGTCTATTAGCTGTTCTGAACCAAAGGGGCGAAGTGACATGATTATAAAACGAAACACTGGTTACAGGCTCCTACAGATCGGCTTTAGGTTGTTCTCATCTAGTGGCAGGGTTTTCCAAACAACGCACACTGAAATCACTCATGGTCAAGATGTGAACGCATCTTCTTTTTAGAATTGGCCGGGGACAGTCCCAATTTGGTAGTCCGTTTCAGACCTAGTGTTTAGGGGAACGTGCATCAAGGCTCTAAGGCAAGTGATTCTGCCTCTTAACTGCAGGCGGCACCAAAGCGACCCAGGAGTCATCGAATCGGAATCCTCCATTGCCTTACAGTATAAATCACTTCGGTAATACAGAATTACACATTTGTCAGTCTGTCGTTCCGAGTGAGTGACCTGCCAGGTAGCGAAATTTCAGCGTCTCTCACTTCAGTGTATAACCGCGTCTTTGTGATGCCGATGACATCATATTTCTGGGAAACTTGTCGATCTTCCAGTTCGGCCAGCTTATTGGAGAGTCCCTGAACATTTGTATACACACACGCTAGGTTACCGGTCTCCAGTAGACCACAGGGGATCAAGGAACTTAGGCATGTGGGAGTGCCGACCGATGTGAGATCAGCAGTTATTCGATTTTGCTGAGCTACAGATACTATTTCCCTACCTTGCTCTGGCCAAGACGCGTCCCAACTCTCATCTAGGTCTATATCATTATTGGCTAAAGGATCAATCCTTGCCGGTACGTCTGACCTTTTAGATGATTTTTAAGTGGAGTTCGTGAAGCATCTGCAGTCTTTAACGAAGTTAGGATGGAAAGCTTTTTCGATTTTCGCGCCATATAACATATCCGTCGCTGCTAGCTCGGAATGAAACACGAGCTTTGGGATTCTCGGACCCATTCCCCTATAACTTTGCAAGAGATGTAACGTGTTAAGCAATCACGCCACAAAATTATCCAAACTAAATGGTTTCGCGGATGAATTGCCATCGTTCTAAATCATGATTTCTGGCCCCTTGAATATTGTGTGTAGGAAGCTCTGGCGCACCATGGATTAAGATAGTGTTTAGGCAATTCGGCTTGATGTGTCCTTCTTCTGAGTTTCGTTTTGACTGTTGTATGTTCCACGAAACATCAAGCTAGAAACGTATCCCACACGATCCACGTTGCAGCGCGTTTGCGGAGAGCAGAAGGTTTTCCACATCAGTTGAGGATTCTAATCTTACTCTAATGAGTCTGGACTCTTTAAGGTGTGCATTGTTCGAATGCCGAGTAATCCGTACTATTGTGTGGGGTTGGCTTTTAATTTCATCAGTATGCACAGTGACTCCCATCGGTTTATGTCATGGAACAATTTACCTTGTATTGTGATAGCTGTGGATTCGGGTACTTTCGAGTGCACAACATTCAGGGCACTAGTGTTAGATCCCTTTTGCGTTGAGCTGTAAAGTTGGAGGATCGTTTGTCCTGACTCGCCACCAAGTAATGCTTGCGTAGTTTCTCGCTATTCGAGTTAGCGGTGTTTGTAACAGAAGAGACTGAATAGGTGGCCCCTCGGCTGGACTTTAAGGCAATCGCCGCATATGTAGCTGCTGTTCTAGGGGACTTTGGCTCGATAATAAACCCTGAGCTGCAGATGCTGTGGGTTGATGTTCCGCTGCTTTGTTCATTTTACCTACAGGTATCATTAAGGCTGGTGGGATTTGATTGCGCACACTTTCCGCCTGGTGACTGATTTTATTTGCTCCGGACGCTGTTTTTCTCTCGGAGTTACGGGTATTTTCGCCTGGTGTTCTGCCAAGGATGAGGAAGACAACGGCGATCGGGACCTGGC